ATATCTTTCACAAGTGACATTAGGAAATAGACGGATACGACGCGATTTTAATAGATATTGCTCGGTCTTAAAAGAGCTCAGATTTCTTAACTTTTTAAAACCCAAACGCGTCCTTATTTTAAATACTGAAATTTAAAAAACCTGATTTGCTGACAAGTAAGTAAAAGAAGAAATATTCTGAGAAGAAGACGACTCTATCGCTGGGACAACCAGCGATCGTCTTCTTAATTACTTCCTGGGACTCGCGTGTTCGCTTGTATTGGCAAGGAATATTCTTGTGTATATCTCGAATTAAATATATAAGCATTTATAAATTCATCGAAAGTCAATATGAAAAATGCATACTACTAAAGTATAAATATTTATGCACTGTGATCTTTGCAGGGGGCCAAAAAGTGCATTCAAACGCCGGCATCCTGCCATATCCAAGAGGTCGTAGCATTATGCTCTATGATGACCGCTATCATAACCCCAATTAAGTTATTCTTCCTAAGCGAAAACCCGTTTAATATTTCATGAGATAGGTCATTGACTGCATTTGCGAACGAACCGTCTTCACTGTCACTCCTGTGAGATTTCCTATTTTGAAGGGAACGTTGAACCGCCTGTGGCTTCGAACGAAGCAATTCTTTCAGCCTTTCAATTTCACCCTGATACTCTCGCAGCAGGGCATCCTTGGGATCCTCATTAATTTTCGGTGTGTTCTTAATGTTCTTGGCCCGACTCGCATACCTCAGGGTGTTTATTGTTTCCTCATAGTTGTAGGATGCTGGACCAACGTTTGCGATCATAACAGTCTTCGAATTGCCTCCCAAGGAATCTGTCAGAGTCCAAAAAGAATAAAAAATGCAAATCAGTTATGAAGCTCGCACGGAAAAGAAACCATATCACAAACAATTATCTTTTTATTCAGAAAACAATTATAAGTATGGTAAGATAGATTACTGGGGTTTGCGTTGCTCTATAAAAGAATAGCAGAAAGCGCATCGAACTGATGTGTGAGTATCTTAAAACAATGTAATACTTTCTTTGGCTGAGTAGATTGGGCATGCTCTGCTATCACCTTTAGTTGCAGTATACACATAGCATTGGGGCGGACAGCCACAATGCCTGTTCCCCCTTCGTTCTCCGAAGCCCGCTATGCCAAAGTCATTCGTCGTCACAAACAACTGTTCCAATTCTTTCTTTCACTGGCACCTCC